TGGCTTTATAGCGTCTGTGAATCATAATGCTCACAATCATCATCTCCATCATCATCATCGTCGTCTGGATCTGGTTTCCAACTAAATTATAATAAGCAAACTGCCGGCTCATCGTGTACTAATTTGTGCAGTTGCCGCCGCTTGCTTCTTGGACGAGTGGAAAGCCATGTAAAGGGCCTTCAATGGCTTGCCTCTTACAAGTCTTACAAGTCTTACAAGCTGCCAATTTCGCAACTGTTGTCTTAGCTTAGACCAACGGCAGACGCCTCCACGAGATGTGGCCAAAAGAGATCACAGTTCGTTACCAATTTCGAGCTTGCAATTTTCTAACTTGTCTTTGTCTTTCTTTGTTTTTGGCCAAGTCATGCTGAGCCTTGGACAAGTTTGTTGACTTTTGGGAAAATGAGAACTACAACAGCGGACAGTGAAAAATGACAGCCAGATATTGAAGAAATTGGTTTACAACATTTCGCTTGTTTTTATTTATTTTTGTGTGGTTTTGCCATGGCATCAATTCACTCGCGACAGCTTCACTTACTGTCTCTGTGTTTCAGCCTTTTGTCCGGCGATGTGCACATTTCAAATCTACATTTTGGTATTGTTTACCTCATCGCATTTATAGCCCATCCATTCCCAAGTCGCAGGCTTGGACAAACAATTTCATTTCGGTTCAGTTTCAGAGTTAGCCGCCGCCTCTCTGCTTACTTCTTTTTTTTATGCTGCTCTGAAAATGGGCACAAGGTCGCTGGCTTGGGACGAGGAGGAAGTTGAAACCGCCTGGGAAGCTGGGAAAGAGGCGCGGAATTCCAGACGGGAGCTCCAGACTGGCTTTTTAATTAATTGCATCCAGACGCAATGGCGATAAAAGGCTTTGCACTTGGAGATAAAATTTCCCTTTCGCTTGAAACACGTTTTTTCGCTCGCTCTTTTTTTGTGAGGTGTCCTAATCCCCTACTTTCAGTCTTTTACGATTTACCTGGGCAAGTGAAGCAGGTGAAACAGTAAAAGAGGCTAAACTGTGAGGTAATGCCAGATTCAAATCTGTACATTATTTCATCTTATTCTTCTTAACAACATCCTACATTTTCAAGATTTACTTTACGGATAATAATAACTTTAGCACCTTGTATAAATCTTTAAACCAGTTGAACTTCCTCCCAGTTTCGCTCACTGCATTGCAGATCAATGAGCCGAAAAGCTTCAACTACTGAGAAGCTTTTCAGCACAAAAAAAAAGCAGTTTCTTTTGCCAAATATTATGCAATTCTTGCAACTGCAAATGGAGACTTTAGGCCACATACAAACTTGGCTTTATTTAAGCTCATGCAAAAGAGTGGCTTAATTAATTGCAATTAGAGGCCTCATAAAAAAAAAAAACCGATCTGCAAAATGGCAAGCGATATGTTTGCTTTTTGTCTGTCTCACCTGTAATTGCTTGGTCCACTTTGAATCTAAAACGAAGCTGGCCATTAACTCGACTCGTCTCTGGCTTGAATAATTTGTGAAGATTTTGGCCAAAGCCAAAACCATATCCACCAAAAAACAAAAAACACACGCCCCAAATGTGTCAAGGTCTTTTGTAAAACTGGTGAATGAGCAAAAGAAACGAGCCACATAAAATCAAATCAAATGGAAACCGAAAGCTGGTCGAGCGAAGTGGGGCTGGGAATGGGTTTTGGACTGGGACTGGGACTGGGACTGGGACTGGGTCTGGGCTCTGCGTTTTGGCTATAATTATCGGAGGAAAACTTTTGGCACACAATGCACGGCATTTGAGTCAGATTTTTTGCCAAGTTGATTGGCCGCAATTGTGCAATGTTTTCGAGCCAATTAGCAGGCTGGCCAAATTGCTGTTAATGCCATGAGCAAATACACAAAAAAACTGCTGCTCTAAGACAATGCATATGGCTTCTTGCAGCTCAAGTGAAAGTACACTGGCAATCAAAGGGATTGGCAAATGACCAGCAGGCTACGTCATGGTTCCGAGAAAACGGGTAACTGCTGGATGAAAGGCCCTAAGAATTGCCAGCAAATTTATGTGACAGGCCTTATTCAGGACAAAGCCTACGTGATATCTCTGGTACGCATTCAAATTACTCAGAAAATACATTCTTAAATCCCGATCTCAAAGGTTACTCTCAGCGAGACAAAAGCCAGTGACATTGGGGCATTGCGGAAATAAATCTTAAATTGTCATTTGTCTTTCGAAATTCGTTAAGATGACTCGCTAATTTCGCTATAAGTTCTATGGCCTTTCGGGGGCAAACGACTGTCTCCACTTAGTTCTAAGGCAGAACTTAAGCATTATGTTCCTTAATGGGCAGAATTAAAGTTCAAATTTGTCTGAAAATGTTCCCAGAGAACAAAGCGAAATGTTTACAGCTTCTCTCCCAAAAGATTTTTTGCCATTCGACCTTTGAGGCCAATTAGAGCAGATTAACGTTCTAGTAGTTGTAATCGCCTGACAGCCTAATCAAATGGCTATTGAGCCTCATATATATATTTTTTTTTTTCATTTTCATTTAGTTAATGTTCGTCAATCAAGTGCGTTGAGTTAAGAAAATTATTTTGAAAAGCTTATCAGACCTAAGCTTCGGTTTTGTAGCCTCTAGCTGTGTTGAATTTACTAAAAAGCTACAAAGCTTAAGCCAAGTTAACTGTGAAGCTATAGACAACTTATTGCTACGACATTAAGAGCTTAAAAATAAGCTTTTACACTAAGCAACACAATGTATAGTGAATGAGTAAAGCTTACCGCAAAGTTCCGTAAGAAATATAAATACAGAATTAACCAAACTCGGCATTGCCTTTTAAAATGCAAATGATAAATCCATAAACTCTCATCTGAATAGCTGCATATCTTCAGAATATGTCAAGTTTAATTATACCCTAAAATAATGGCGCAGTTTGACATATACAGAGGGTCCCGCTTATGGTCCGGTGATTTAAGAATTACAAATTTTAATGGCAAAGCAATTAGAATTTAAAGCCCAGAGCGTGCTAAAACAGTTTCTGATCCGAACGAGGGCGTGCCCGTACTGCAAATCATCGCCAATAAACTGATATGAGCATTAACAACGACAATTAACGGCACGCCAGGAGGAGAGACGTTGCCTGATATGACAAAAAACATGTTGATATACACGAATCCGTAGCGGTTTCCCAATATTTCGATTCCACTCACCGCTGAACTAGTTCATGCGGAAGTGACGTCGCTGATTGAATGGTGGATATTGTATAATGAAGGCCACCAAAAGAGAAATACCGTTAAAGGCAACAAACAAAGGCAAGTGGACCATCGATACGGCCCGACCCCAAAGTCTGCCGTTTTTGGATGCCAATAAAATGATTTTAAATTGCACAAAGACGCCGGCGAGGAAGGGGTGAAGCCCTTAGAGGGAGAGCAAATAGGCAATAGTTGCAGATAAATCTCTAAACAAATTTTAATTAAAATTTTAAATATATGTCTTGTTGAAATAACTCAAAACATCAATCAAAAATTCGAAGATTTAGTTACTGTCAAGGCTTCAATTCCTAAATCATAAATCAAATCCTAAATCTTTGTAATTGCACACAAATTCTTAGAAAGTTAGTTAAGGATTTAGTTAATTTTTTGATTTATATACAATATTATTTAAACTCCACTCCCCATTAAAATCGGACAGCTTTAAGACTGAATCCCAACCTAGACTCAGACCTACGCCCCTGTTTAGCATCGCTCTCGTGTCTCGCATGCGTTGCCAATATTATGTCATTCATAAGCCAAATAAAAGAAGAAAACCAGCATAAATGAATGACCAATTTGTATTTACATAAATTTACACACACACACTCACCTCCGATTGCGGAGTCTGAGAGCACAATAGTATCGGATTATGGCAAAATAATTTTCACACATTGTGGCAAATCGACCGATTGCCGGATGTGCGACAATCCAAACTCAGTTGCAAAAATCACCCATGATGGACGACGTTAATTTTGTACAAAAACTCATCTGTTTGCCGATTATTGTGCCACGCATTTGTTGTGATGAGGGGAAATTATTGAAGTTTGCAATTAGTTGAATTAAATGCCAAGTGCTGAAAGCCAGCCAGGCGTGCCTTCCTTCGGAAGCATCGCCCTATGAATGGCGACCCTGGATTCTATTAATAATCGCGCGAAATCGGTGGCTTTCAGTTGCTCATCGTTCGCCTGGCGGTGCGCATGCGCCATAACTTGTTATGATATGAATTTGTTACCTTACTGCTTATTTATGTAATTGCAAATTTCACTCGTCAGCTTAGCTGCTGAATAAATGCAATTAAAGCCCAGAGCTTAATAGGCATGACGCGAAATTTGCGCAGACCCAGTACTGGCGAACGATAATGATCAGCCCGATGAGTTGCCTGAATATGCATTTCACCCAAGCAACCCTTCGTGAGCCTTGGACAATGCACCGCGCATCCGTAAATCAAACCCCCTCCGAAGTGTCATTCACGTTTGATTAAAAAAAATAATAATAATAACAAAAAACGTCAGAGCTAAGTCCGTAATGAATGTGATTATTTTTTCGTTTGCTTTGGCTTTGTCTCATTTAATTATAATTATTCATTGATCGGTCAGATTCACTGATAAATATGTTTTTGGTCCAAAAATAAAGCGGTCTTCGATAACAGAAAACACGTGCGTGCGAGTATTATGCAATGTGTGTGTTTGTGTGTGTGTGTGAATCAAAGATTAAGCTTAAAGTTTAAACAATAAACAAAAACATCATGTTCTTGGGTTGCGACCCTGAATCGAACTACTATTTGTTGTTGCGGCTACTTGGCCTGAGGTAAAATCGAAACTTCAGATAATTTGTAGAAGGCGATGGTATCTGCTGATGATTCCGAATCAGTTCCATTGAGGGACCCCCTCTCATCTTAACGACTACTTTATGGACCATTAAGGCAACTCTTGGATATAAAACCTGTGGCTACGCTAATGGCACCTCTGACTCAGACCGAGACTCATCAGACTCACATGGCACTGGGATCCGACCAGCTGAAGTGACGTTTTATCCTCTCCAGATCCAGGACGGGCTGCTGCGGATGCTGATGCTGCTGCTGCTGGCTCAAGGTCGCCTCTTTCTTCGGCGCCATTTTGCGGCTGCTGGGGAGGATGCACTGGGAACTAGTCACTGGTCCAATGGAATATTCGAATCGCAGTTGCACAACTGGTTTCCCTTGCTTCTGCTGCTGCTGCCCGTAAAGCGTCTTGTTTATTTCGGTATTGTTTGTATCTGCACTCACAACGCTCGCTCGGTTTCTCACACAGAAATTCGCGTGCGCCTCCGCAGAGTGCTGAGCGAAACAAAAGACTTAGGCAACGAACTAAGACTTCATATTAGGCGCGGGCCAACTTGTTTTATCTTTTTTTTTTTGTGTTTTTTGCTACTCTGACAGGTGTGTAAAGCCAACAGCTGTTTCGTTGGGTTTTTGGCCAGAAAAATAACGATTGCTCACAACGTGGCCGGGCGACAAGCAAGCACTGCGACGGCGCGACGTCAACGAAAACGAAAACGAGCGCAGGTAAAACACGTAATTGGATTTATAACTTTACTCTTTTTTCTTTGTATAAAGTACACGTAATAAAAGCGCACAAAGTGATATCGGTTTTTTGAGACTATGCTGCTGCTGCTGCTGCTGCTGCTGCCTAACCCGCCGAAGTCGTGATCGAAACTGAAACCCCAAGACGCGCGCATCCATCGCAAGAGCCGCCGAAATGCGACAAAAGCTGCAAAAGCAAGAGAGCACCGAAGCGGGTTGAGCTCTCGTGAGCGGAGAGATTGTATTTTATTCGGTATTGATATGGTTTTTATTTTTATTTCTCATTCGTATAGATAAACATGCACGGCTCTAGTCATGCACACATGGGGCAGCAAACAAAAAATCGAACACTCCAAGCCAACGAACTTGTTGAGGGAATGTAAATCGGTCTGAGCCATGAGAGAGGCAAATGTGTTAATTAGGCTCGAAAAGGTAATATTTACTATAGTAACTAGAAATATGTATTGTTATTTCTGTGTCAATTTCAGAGAATGTAAGTGATTTTTAAGAGTGTTTCCATCAGCCTTAAACGTTAAGTCTCTCTGTCAAGAGGCCTAATTATAGCTTTATCTGTAGCATTTTTTCATCTACCTCCGGCCACGCACATTGTGCTTCACTTAACCACTTTTCATGGTATTTTTTAGTGGCTTAATTAAGACATTGCATGACACCGTTAAGCGCCTTATGGGTCTTAATAGCAACCTACAAATGATGATGATGAACTACCCGGGCAGTGTGATGAACTTTAAGCAGATTATCAAGAGTTGCCCGTTTAGCCCAGAGCTGTCAAACGGTGAAACACAGTTGGGGTATAATGTTATGTACTATATAAATCAAGTATAATTAGTAACGCTAATAAAAAAAAGCGAAACTAAAGTTGGCTAGTGAAAACATTTCTATATACCGCGCACTCGTATAATTCACACATTTCCGTCAACGTGACGTGAGCAGCCGAGATCAGAGAATCGCATACTCAGTGAGGGAATTGTTGAATTTTAAATAAAATTATATTAATAACAAAATTGCAAGTAATGGGGGAAATTTCATGCTGCATTAGCCATAGGAATATCATTAAGAAACCGAATCAAAACAAATCGATAACCGTGATCCATGAGCAGTTTCCGGTTGACCCGGGCGGGTCAGTGAAAGCGTTAGCCGGTCAGGTCTTGCGCAAAATTGCATCGGACATTAAATAGCCGCGACTTTAAATAAAAGCTTATCTAAATATTTACACAGCCAACAAAAGGCCGCCTAAATTTTCGGGTGGTCAATTGGTATGCAAATGGCGGGCAGACTGTCGTAGCATTTCCCCCAAGAAATGCAAATGCTCTCTTAGGCCGCTCTTTTTTTCTTTCTTTCTCTCTGCTGCCAAAAACTTCCCCCCCAAAAAACTAGCCACTGCCGGTGGTTACCTCATCGGCGGGCGTCGTTAAATTGCAACAATTACGGTGGGGGGGGGGGAGGAGGGAGGAACGACGACAACAACGGCGGCTGTGGCGGTGTAAATGAAAATCAATGAAGCGGCTAACGAACGAAGACAGCGAATGAATCGAGACAACTACGAATGTTTGGCCGAAAAGAAATGAATGCTAAAAGTGCCGCATAAAAAGAAAGTTTAAAGCACACTTTTTTTTTGTCTTGTCTTGGCGGTTTTTTTTTTTTTTTTTTTTGAGTTCGATTTTGTTTGCCTTTGCGCCAGTGCAATGAATGATAGTAAAACTGCATTCGTTCGAGTTAGAGCCGGAGCACTCAAGCTTGAGCCCCGGATTCAGTGATTCAATAAACAAAGGTGGCCGGGTAAATAACCAAAATTACAAAACCAGCAAAGCGCGCCAAAGAATTTGTGTCACAAGTTGCACAATGCCCCACCGAAAGCCACTGCTCCAAGCCTGCACACACGGCGTATGAGCAACGAGCAGCGACCACAACGACGACGTCGAGCAAATACCGCACTTTGGCGAAGAAGTAAAACTGCAATTTGCAAGCGTTACATAAGCGGAGGCGACTTCAGGGGGACCAGCCAGTCCGCTCGCCTGCCCAGTGGCGTTGGTCGCCTTGACGGAAGTCGGGAAAAATAGTTCCAGAGGGGGGAAGAAAAATAGCCAAGAGCATGAAATTAACTGAATAAATAAATTCGCCACAGCCGGGCGAAATGCGTAAAGACCAAAATGGCAGACTCGGCCAATATACATACATCCATATAGTATGTGGAGTAAGCCAATAAGTAAATTGGCCAAAAAGCAACATGGATCCCAATGGTTTGGCTTGTATGATGGAAGCTGGACACGGATCGGAAGTGGAATTACGTGTAAGTGGATCGATAGCTTGCATTTTTCCACTTGAGAGACAATTTCTAGTGATTATTTGTCAACAAACTGGAGTGGCTTAAAGTGTAAACGAGGTGCAAGGAAATTATGGACCGACTGGAAATGACCACATCATTTATACATTTAATGTTGGCATAATAACTCGTTTTAAAGCCAGTATTATTTTTTTATTTGAATTTGAGTTTGTTTTAGATGAAGCCAGTAATAATTTAAATTTAATCCTTAACTCATAATTCATAAAAATATGAAGCAAATGCAAAGAATATAAGAGCTAAAGCCGAAGTTTCTATACCATAGCAGTTTACAAAAGAATTATAGGATCGTATCGAAAATCTATACATTTTTTTTCCGACAAATCAAATCTTTAAAAAATGCATTACTAAGCTAAAAACTCATTAATTACAATTTGGCAAGCAGTCCTATGTTAGTATTTATTGGTTTAATTAATCTGCATACTCAACTTAAAACTTTAAAAACTATACATTTTTGGCCAATTTTAAACAATCTTAACGATAAAACCCTTATGAAATTTTAAAAAAATTTGAGATTTATTTTTCCAGCTTCATATAATAGCATGCAACGGTATGCACAAAGAGTACAAAACTCTTTGTTAAAGCAAATAATTTCCAGTCAAGAATACAAATTTCCCTTATTTGAAATGCGCGCCAAGAAAAGTACATTAGTCATTTCACTCTCTCGTTTACTTATGGGATGTCTCTTTTACTCAAAATGTTATTTGCAGTGGCGCCCTCTTTTGATTTTTACTTGAAGGCAGGCGGCCTCTATTGGGCTTTTCGTGAAACTACAAGCTGTACCTAAACTTATAGCACAGTTGCTATAAAATTTACTATAAAATTTATAGTGATAAAGGTTCTGATTAAGTGCACCGATCTACCGCCAGGTGGCTTTATGTCATTGAGAAGGTAACGTAACGTTTAAGTGATGTAAAATGTTTTTCTATAAAAAGTCTTAAAAAAGGAAATTAAATAAAATTTATTATCAATTAAATTGCTAAAAAAAAAATATTTTTGCAGTCTACAAATATTTAAAAATAGAGATCAAAGTGACAACATGAAAGAATTTAATTAATTGAACCAAATAAATAAACAAAAGATAAACTTTTCCTAGAAAAAGAGTTAATTGCAACCGTTACCTAAGCTCTTTGTTCTGTGGTTGATTAATTTATTATTGATTTATATTTACTTATATTTTCTGATAAGCAGTCGTAATTATATTTCGCTTTCTTTAATGAGAAATGATTCAGAAATCTCTCTCTGTGTCTGTCTTATCAATTATCTGCTCTTAATATACTTTACAGCAATGATGACGACACACACATTCCCCGGCAAAAACCGAGTCTACTTGCTTGCCAGTGCTCGCTGGAAGGGTCAGTTACAATTGCGAACTGAAAGCGTAAAGATGAACCATCTTAAGTATCTCCTGATAGGGATAAGTCTCCTTTTGGGTGAGTTAAAGGAAAATAAAAAGGATATATAGATCTAAAATCCTTAATTGTAGGTGCAGGAAATGTCTGGTGTGATTGCCAACTGAGCAAAGCCAATACATGGAGTGATCGAACCTTTGCCCACATCGTCTCCAATCGATATGAACTTTTGCTAACGGATCGCTTGCAGACCAATCAAAACCTGCATTTACTTTGTGGTGGCGGGCAGGTGGTTTTCAGCACCACTTGTCAGTCGAATGGACACCTTAACCCACCATTGCCCACAACCAACTGCACAGTGCCTCTGACTCCCACTGTTCAGGCAGTCAGAGATCCCAGTTGCTCGCATACCATGTACCGTGTGGGATTTCCCTATCAACAACAGTTCCTAGAGATCTATCGAAGCTGCTACCAGGCCTCCACAATGACAGCTTATTTCTCCATCACCAAGGTTTATCCCACCTATTTGAGTAAGTTCAGGCAGCTACGCTTTCTCCACTGCATTAGTCATTTAGATTTCACCCCTTGAATATGTGTAGATTCCGATGGCCCGCCTCCGACTTTCGATCGAGACGGATTGATAAGTCCAGCAGATGTCGCCACATTCCAGCGTAAGAGCATCTACAATCAATTCGAGAGAATTCTGGGACGGCACCAGCGGTATATCCCGAATGACAAAAGTTCATCATTCGAGCGTGGCCACCTGAGTCCAGCCGGGGATCACACCTTCACCCGGAACCTGCGGCAGACGAACAAGTACCTCAATGTGATGGCCCAGCATCAGAACATCAATCGCAGCAACTGGAAAATTGTGGAGAATTGGGTGCATCGCTTATTCGCCGTACGTCAGTTTGATGTCCTCAAGGTCTGCACGGGCACACTGGGTGTACTTGAGTTGGACAACACTGCTGGGCATCCGGTACAGATTTTCCTGGCTACGAACAAGAATCCTGCACCCAAATGGATGTACAAGATCGTTAGCCATCTCTCTGGCTACAAAGTAGTGGTGTTGACCTACAACAATGGATGGGCAACGGTCAGTCCAGATCCCACATCGGTGTGCCAAAGGGTCAGCTGCCCCAGCTCTTTGACTCCCAATGGGACTGGTTTTACCTTCTGCTGTGATCCAGTACACTTTATAAGCTCTAATGTCCCTAATTTGACGGGCGTTTGCTAGGAGCTATCTTAGATCCATTCTATATACTGAAAATTATTTATTTTATATATTTACATGGATGGTTTGAAGTTAATCTTTATTTTATTTATTCATATTTAAACCCCAATAAATTATATACTTTGCATGACAAGATCCGAAAACTTTTATATTTCGTTTTTCCAGGAACTCCCAGGAACTAATTATGTTACCCTTTTAATAACTAATAAAAGTATATATGTTATTACTTTGGGCAACCATTGGGTTGTAACCCTTCGTATACTTACAAGGTACATATGTGTTATTTTAATTCAATATTTTTATGTTAATATTTTGGGTAAATCAAAGTTTTTAAAGTATCATAACTAAGCCAAAAATGCATTAATTTTAATTTTGATAGATTTTCTGTGCTAGTTTTTGTAGGGCTAACAAATCTGTATACTGAGTTTTAAAATTTAAAGAATTCAAATTTTGTATCAATTTTTAACAATTTTAGCGATATAACCCCTTATAAAATTTGAAAAAAAAAAATTAGAAATTTTATTTTTCCACCGGACATAGTTTGATCAACAGTTTTTTATGCTGATCCGGAATATATATGATTTATAGGGTCGGAAACGATTCCTTCACTGCATTGACTGAAATTATAATACCCTGCAATAGTATAATAATATAATAATAATAGCAAAAGTTGGCCCGAAATAAGTAATAAGTACTTAAGTAAAAAATCAATTTAGGTAAACAATTTATAATTTAGTTGGGTATACGATTGTTCATACCCTTCAAGCAATTTAAAACAAAATGAAGTATTGTCCAAAATCTTAAATTGAAAAATAAAAGCAGAGCTATTACCTACCACTTCCTAACCATCTTCATATATTTATAAAGTTATTGTTATATTTAAGACTTACCGCAGTAGTTGCTATCCTGTTTCGTCATTGCCTATTTTCTTCTTGTTCTATATGGTGACTTCAATTAGGATTTTCATGATGTCATCGAAGTAAGCTTCTTCCATTTTATTCAGATGTATTGCATTGGCCAGATGATATTTATGAGGTCGTAGGGTTATCACTATCATTGTCACTATCACTATAGATGTTATCAGTGGGGAGGCCGCGGACAGACTGAGGCCGGTGCAACGGGTGTGCCTGTATTTATAGTCCCAGAGAAAAGAGAACAGAGAAAGTGAGAGCGAGAGAGAAGGAGATGCCTACAGAGGAAAGAGGTCAGAGCCAGAGAAAGAGAGAGAGAGGTTGAGAGAAAGTGAAGCGAAGCTACAAAGAGAGAGACAGACATTGCAAAACAAATAGAGAGAAAGAGAGGGTTTAATGAATTGAACTCTTTGGTGTTCCTAAATAGGATATTGGTAGAACTAATTGCATTCCTTGAATTTAAAGATTGAGAATATTTGCAAATTCTTTATACAATCTACATGCCTTTATGTTTCCAACTCAATTGTATTACTATTTAATTACTAATTAAGATAATGATAAGTTATTAGCTCAACCATTGCAATATTTTGCCAACTATTATTTTAGAACCCTAACTAAGTAAATCGATCTAATAAATTAAGAAATATTTAGAGGAAACAGTCTATTAATAGTGTATAAACTGCCAACCTAAATGTTCCTCCTTCAATCTCAGCTCAATATATTTATTTAGCCTTGGGACATTATTTCTTATAAAACGGATCGGATTGTAGAAGTAGATGTAAGATCAAAGGTTAGACTCTGTACTGACCTCGACCCAGAAAAATCCTAAAGCGATTGCAGACGACTGCGGACTTTTGATATTGTTTTGATAAAAGTGATTATATAGTGAATATATGTAAAGTGAATATATGTATAAACTACAATATAACTCAACTTACTCAGGTACACACATATATATATATACATATAACATTTCCGGCTTCTGGACAGTTGTTTCTATTCCTTTAAAAACTTTTAATAACTTTACTATTTTCATAGCGAGTATATGCTTGTATTAACTTAGCTGTTGTCATAGTAGGAGCCAGTGTTTGCCCGAGGCAAGATCAATAAGTGGAATACACGGAGATATCCTGGCTCCAACTCCTCCAGAGCTCCGATGGTCAAGGCACGGATACAGCCCTCCCACATACACATGACCTGATTGATGTTGGTTTTAGTTGATCATTTATTTGTTATTTGCACATCACATTACACTCTCAGTGCCGGCAGCTGGAGGGCAGCCACCTAATGGTCGCGAGGCTGGGCACAGCCTTAAAGTGGCACTCTCCGGATGGTACTCCTGGCTTTAAATGCCGTCCTTGTGCATTCAATTTGTCACATGCCAGGCTGCCGCATATTTGGACGAAATATTTTTGAATGTGTCACAAAATTTTGCACAGACCTCGGAAGGGACGGACGGGCAGGACGCAAACATGAATTATGCTTATCCACGTGTTATGCATAATGGCTAGCCGACCTTCCGTCGGCATTCCCACAACCTAATATTAATTTGCTGATTTATGAGCAGCCCAGCCCACAGCGAGGCAACTATAAATTTTAATGAAAATTTAATAAATGCGTCGTCGGGCGGAGAGTTTTTGGCCGAGCCTTTTGTTGTTTGCTCATGGGCTCTGGGCTCGTGAAAATTTAAGCAATTACATCATGTGATGGCCAGTGCCGCTGCTCTGCGGCTTTAAGAGGGGCTCCGATTCAAATTATTTCAGCAATAACCACTCATTAAAAATGTACATAAGTCCTTGGCCAAACACTCGCAATTGCTGCGGATTAGGGAGCGGAATGCAGAGTGCAAAACCAGCGGCCCCGCAAAAATGAAGCCTCCTCAGAGCGGCCACAGAAACAAAACTGACAGCCAGGCCCAGACCAGACTCACAACCGGTCGATACAAAATAGTTAAATATTTTATGTCACTGCTATTTTACGCTTGTAAATCACAGTCAGACTAAGAGTCAGAGTCCTGGCCACAGACAGACAGCCCGCCGGCTGGGTCTCCGTTGGAGGCAAACCAAAAAGTTCGCATCGGAAAGTGAGCAAGCATTACGGTTAAGTCCGGCTCCGGCTCCGGAATGGGATGCGGTGGCCACCATCAGCTCCAAATAGTTGAGCTCCACTCGGGCTGCGGTCCTGTCAGGCTTTTGCCCACCTGCCTTCCTATGTGTGTGTTTGCATCTCATGGATTCCTGGCGCTCAGACCTATTTAATATTAAAATCAAATTCCTCGAGATAAATTTCATTTTCGGCCAGCCAAACGTCGACATCTCTGATAGACAAATATTTACTTGGGCCAGCCATTGCATTTGCATTGAATAATTTACCATTGGAGTGCGGCAGACTCCGTCCGGCAGCCGACAGGACCAATAATAATTGGATAAACGCTTTTAAATGGCATGCAACAAATTAACAATCATAAATTACATTAATTGCATTCCCAAAGAGAATATGGGGTATAAATAATTGAGTTACAATTTCGGCCTTACCTTACATGCCAGCACAATCTAGTGTGTCTCAGGTGTCGAAAGGTAAACAGTTCAATCTGCAATCGAGGAGAACCTGCCCTTGGCATCTCAGTGTTGATGTTCATCATGCCGGACCAAGTCTATAGAAATACTCTGCGGTTTGTTTTCTTTCTGTCGTTTCCCCCCCATTTCAGGACCTGTTTAAGCAAAACGGCCAAACAATACAGACAGTACGTAATGGATATCGATATTTTTTAGATAGTCAGGGGATGGCTATGGATGCTGGATGCTGGATGCTGGTTTGCTGGATGAGGGATGCTCCAGTTCCGGTTTCATCAAAGCAACTGCCTGACAGTCGGTACAGTTGGCAGGGCCTTCGTGCTGGCTTGCAGCGATTTTAACAAACAAATCAATTTATTTGCCAGATTACAATTTACGTGACTCAGATACAAATTGCTTTATTTATTTAGCAGAGCACAATGAATGAACCAGCGCAGGAGGAGGCAGCTCCGAGGTCGCCGGTGAGCTGAAACAAAACAAAAACGTTGGCGGGCAAATACATCAATTAGATACACAGAAGCGGACTAATGTAATGACTAATTGAGTTCAGGATATGTTCACATGCAATGCTATCCTTAATGGACACGCTGAGCCCGTGAGGCTGCCATTTTCATCTAAAACAATAGATTAATGGGGGGGAAAAGCCAAATATGTAACAACATTTTCATAATCACTTTATAATTAAAATCATGAAAGCTATAGACTTTAATATATTCCAGCTTATTGAATCCTTTATAAGATGAACAAAATATTGTGTTAATTATTATGTCTTTTTCCGCTTTTAAATTGATTTGTATTTAATTAATATTGCATTCCTAGTTAAATATTATTTATTTCCGTGCACATAATACAGAAATCGATATACAAACAACAAACCCAACGCCAACCATCTATGAATTCCAATTCATCAGGCTCAAAACAACAATTAAAAACTGCCCCACCCCACAAGTGGGCGTAACACAAAAATATATAGAGAGCGGGGGCGGGGCGTGGGAATCGAAGCTGGATAAATAATGAAAAAATAAAGAGAATCGATCTCATTACTTAGCAACGGCCGGGAGCACAAAGCCATCTGAAGTGGCTGTAAGTTTAATAACAGAAATGCTCAAAACATAAGCCACAAAGGCGGGGAGTCCCACAGAAATGTCCAGCGAGAGAGAGAGAGAGAGACAGAGAGAGAGAGAGAGAGAGTGCAAACAAAACAAAGTCGGCAAAAACCCCAAAAAGCAGAACTCAATCAGGCATAAAACATTAAAAGCTTCCCAAGAAGCACGAAAGAAATGGCCCGGCAATCTATCGAAAGGAAGAAAAGGACCCAGCCAGGAGCTGGAGGAGGAAAACTGAAGCCGGGAAAACTGTAGCAAGCAAAACCTTAAGCGGGTGAAGAGGCAGGCAGGGTAGGGCGGAGGCGAAGGAAACGGAAACAGTGCAAGTTAAAGTTTGCAGCCACGGACTCCATCTTTGAATTAGTGAATTTCCGGTAGCAACAACTGTAACTCCGAAGAATGTTTTAATACTGTTTCTGTTTCAGTTTTTTTTTTTTGCGCAATCTCGGTTTAAATGCTACAATTGTAAAGGCCAAAGGGAAAATG